GCCACAGTCGACCGCTTCCGGTAGTGCGTATGTGGGGGAAAGCAGCACTGTTTTATCGTACTAGATACATTTGAAAGTTCTGTTATAATGCTACTCTGTGCAGAAAAATTGATAATTTTTTTTTGGCTATTGCTAAAAATATACCCAAGCGACTTAAGACTGGTTTTGTGCTACACTTTATAATAAGCTCGGAAACATTGTAGTTACTATATAAGTGTTTTTAAAATATTATTTATGTACTATTATATTATTTTTAATTGGCTTTTTTAAAATTTTTATATTGACTTTTTCTGTTGTTATGTGGTTTTGTCATATTTATTAGTATTGTTTTTATATTTCTATATAGTTTTAATTCATTTTTTATTTGTTTTAGTAAGCTGAAAAATGCTATATGAAGGAAGTTAAAGTCGGCATGAAACGGAAGTAGTGATTGTCTTTTTTCTCTACTGTGACGTCTATCTGACTGAAACGGCATCTGAAATGAGAGGGCTGGACTTGATTTCGTCCTTCGGGAATTTATTGGATCGTTGGAAGCTGGGGCGTTGCTAACAAAATGGAGGCAGATCTGAATGCCAGTTTGCAGTTAGTTGTGGGGGATTTCTCTCTACTGGATTCACCGCCGACACCCTAGCATGAAGAAATTTTTTATTTATTGAGGAAGACGACGACGACGATCAACGGCACAAAACATGCCTAACAGCACGCGAGAGAGAGAGACTGCCTGAATGACTGAGCGCGTCCTCCATCAGGTTAAGTCATATTCATAAAAAAAAGTTTGCGATGTCCTAAGAGTAATGTTGTAGTAATATCCTAATATCCTTTCAATTTTTAAGGGTAGTGCACTACCCCATGGCTTGCATCAGCACTGGTCAATGCATTGATTTCTATAAAGTGAAGCATCAGCTTCAGTTTTTCCCCCTGTCGTTTATCCCAGCGTTTACCCCTCACGTCACTAGCTCCGCCCCTGCCTCATAGCCCGTGACCGGAAGAGAAGATGAGTCGTTTTGAGGGGGAGGGGAGGTTAACGTTTTTGATTAAAGATTACGAGGGCACATGAATTAAAAAAAAATAATGAAGTGCACGGATAAATTATTTATAATAAACACTACAGTATTCCATTAAAAAAATAAGAATTTAAAATTTTGATTTCATGCCAACTTTAAGCAAGACAGGACTGAATATAAAATTTTACCGTCTACTAAGATTATAAATGTCGATTTTTGTCCTTTATGCTAAGAAAAAAACATTGTAGTCACTAGAAAAAAAAGTATTTTTGTAATATTTTTATTTTACAAAATATTTTTACAAAATATAATATTTTTAATTCTCTTTTATTTTTGTATTTTCAGTTTTCATTTTAAATTTATTTTACGTTTTAGTATTTTTGTTATATATTTATATATACATATATATATATTATTATTATTTTTTAGTTGTTGACTGACAGGGCAGTGAGGCAGGGCTCTACAGGTTCTACAGTAAGTCATGACTCATCCCATACAAATTTAGTTTGCTGTCCTAGTCATAACTAACCTGTCTGTGGCTTTATATAAATAGAGATAATTAATGTTACACCCAAATAAATTCCTTCAATGTTTTGAAAAACTGTTTCAGTTGGGAGCTGAATGAAGCTGCCCACACCCTTCTCTCAGTCCAGCAGCTCAGTGCCGGTACATCCTGACAATCACCTCGCTTTACTTCCCTCCCACACTTCAAATTCATCTGAATTAGACTAGAAATGTAGAACACAATACCAAAAGTTTTACATAATTTATAAACAGAATTTATGTTAAACTACTTAAATTAATACTTTATTGAGAAAGGATGCATTAAATTGAAAGACAAATTACATTTTAAAATATATTTCAATAGAGAACAGTTCTTTTAAATTGAAACAATATTTCACATTATTGCAGTTTTAATTGTATTTTTGATCAAATAAAAATGCAGCCTTGGTGAGCATAAGATAATTCTTTCAAAAACATAAATAATGTGCAGACCACAAACTAGTAAAAACAAAAATGCTTTTTGGTGAAAAAAAAAAACAATCTCAAAAATTATGTTTATAAATAGCTTAAAAATAAACGAGCTGGTTTGCACTAAGTAAAGATACTGTAGTAGTCAAAGCAAACACCTTCTCTGAACTAAAACAGGGCTCTGTTATAACCATTAACAAAACATAACTTACAGTTTCCAGCTGTATAAAAGATGGCCACTAGAACAATAGGTAGACCTTTAGGGGATGGACTGATTCAGTTATCTTTCATCACTATAAACTGAGTCTGACAACAGCAGATATCAGTGGAGAAACAGCTGGTGATATGGAAAGGTTGGCTTACATGCAGGCACAAAAAAATCCTTGCCCAGTTACTTAATTTAAAGAAAAAAAAGGGGCAACACAAATAGCAGTCATTCCTCATTCCTTCAACACTCTTGGCCAGCAACAACTATAAGGAAGTACTGTAGGAAAACATTTGAGCATGTTTTTTTTCTGAAAACAACAACAAGCAGCCTATTCATGACATACTAACCTCCATCAATCTCACCATCAGGGTCAAGGCTATTTTCCCCAGGTACAGGTGGAGCGTCCAGCGGGACAGGTTCCTCTATTACTGACAGGACGAGACGTTCCAGTCGCTCAGGATCCTAAGAACACACACACACACACAATTCCCCAGAAGTACATATCAAGCCAGCAGTTAGTCAATATAGAATACATCAGTTCCTGTTTCTTATCTCACCAGGTTCTGGAGGTCCTCGTTGTTTCCCACATAGAGATTATTGAAGAATATCTGTGGTACGGTACTGTGACCTGTGAGCTCCTTCAATCGTGCTCTTAATTCTCTGTGCTTGTTCACATCCACATCACACACAGGAACACCTAATGTACTCAGAGTAGCTTTGGCCTGTATGCAGTGTGGACAGCCTGGCACCGAGTACACTGTTACCCGTCCCCTCATGACCGTCCCGTCCTCCACCATCACAGACACAGCACCTGAAATATCAGAGTAAAAGCATTTGAAAGCTGTCACCTGAATTCCCTGAACATTTCTCACTCACCTACAAGCTGTAAACTAAATAATCAGCTAATAAACAGGCAAAAAGAGGCACATCCCACAAATACATTTTGGTGACTTTTTTTAACCATTAGACGCAAAAATCCTGCATTAAGACATGCAAGATAAGCTAAAGGTCTGGATGTCTTAACGCCATAAAACTTAAATAACGTATGCCATAATTTTGGAATTATATATTGAACTGATATTCAATTGTAATTGTGTTAAAAAAAAAACTTATAATGGTTTTCCCAAACTGCTAAATCAAAGTATATTTATTAATATTTTTTTCATATTTATTACTACATTTTTAATTATCTTTTATTTTTATATTTTCAGTTTTAGTTTTAGTTATTTTGCTTGGTCTTTTTAACATTTCTGTTTAGCTTTATTTTATTTGTATTTCAGTTTTAGCTTTAGTCATTTTAGTACTTCAACTTTAACGCATTTTATTTCAATTGCCAAGACATTTCTTTCATTTTTCTAGTTTTTTCACTTTTATATTTAAAGTTATTTTTAATTTATATTTTTATTTAATTTGTATTTTATTTAATCTTTTAATGAACAAAAATATCATGCACTTTTAATTTTAGTTAATATTATTAACAACACTGAAAATGTACTACTGTATTGAGACATTGGTGGATGCAAAAATGGCAAACATCTTTTAAAAGAAACAAAAAAAACAACTAATATTTAGCAGAGGTTGACAAATGTTTTCTGAAGGCCAAGCACCTCCATTTATGTTTATTGGTTAAAAAAAAGGCATTTTACATATAGGTATAGGCCTACTATTTATAGAAAATACTGCAAAACGATCTTTCTTTACAAAAATGGACGATATAAGCATGGTTCTGCCTGTTACTATAAAATATAGTTAAAGTTCCTTCTGTAAAACCATAATAAATACAGTTTATTTTTTATTTAATTTCACATACTTTTAAAGTCTTATAATTTGAGGACAGTGGTGGCTAAATAACAACAGTAACAGTGGGTTTGTGCATTTTAACTCTGGTTACGAAAGTAAATGTTTGTACAGGAGTCTAAAAGACTAGAAATATCCAAGCATGCAGCATCACTATTTATAACAGCCAGCAGTTTAATACAGGAAGCAAATCCTGTTTTTCTCCCAGAACTAACATGACCCACTACAACATTGCTGAAGCTAAAATCACAAACCTTCCTACCCAGCATCAGCCAGAACAAGCGGTTTAGCGGACGTACCGTTCCTCCCGCTGCCTTTGCTCGTGTCGCTGTCAGTGCGGCGCTCGGACTCCGTCTCATACACTTTGACTTGTACACCTCTTACAGGTAAACGGAGTTGCTGAGTAGGCTAATTTTCACTAGCTTTAAGTAAACGATGGAACATTGTTGTGCAATGTCACTACGCCCTGTAATGCTATTCATAATTACTCAAAAAATATATTCATCGGCAGCTGAGTGATACTCAAATAACTGAATAGGGAAGCAGATAACAGGACAACAGAGGGAGCATCGTCCTTACAGCAATGTGAAGCCAGCACACACAAGGCACCAGTCACTGAAAGAGTCTATCATATAATAATAATAATAATAATAATAATAATAATAATAATACTATAATAATAATAATTAGTATTATTATATTAAAATATACATATTATATATAATAATATAATATATTAATTAAAATATATTGTTTGCACTCTGTAATAAATGTTAATAAATAATTATTAATTATTATTTTTATTTTATATTCATTTACATGTGGCTTATTAAAGTTTTGTCTTTGCTCATGGGCTTATTCATTTTTTCTTCAATTTATTTAATTTTTTTAATAAATTTATTTTGAATTGATGTCTTGTGCTGCATGGATCATTTTTTACCCCAAAATAGAGTCTTTTATTTTGAAATATTTTACGTCCAGAAATCTCCGGTTGCTTCGTTGCTCACGCTGCTCGTGTTGGCGTCATCAACCGACCCACCCTGCTGGACGAGGAAGTGAAAGAGCGACAGAGACGGAGACAGCGCTGAACGGAGCGTGGACGCGGTAAGACCACAGGGCTCTTTTCGATTAAATCATTTATATGTGCGCTTATAGTTTTGACAAATGCCCTCACGGCGTGTTATCGATCACATTTGATTAAAACGTGTTCTTACGACCTTAATACAAAGCGAGAGTATCTGCGAAAGACCACACACAATTATAACAATGTAGTACATTTATTCAGAGTCTTCTTTGAATGTAATTGAATGCTTATTATCATTTTATTGTTATAGTTAAGCACATGTTGACCTGTGGCTCTGAGGTTTCTCATAAACACGCATTCTGATTGTACAGTAGCAGCCACGTCGCGTCGTTTATGAGCTTTGACAGGTCAGTCATTTCCTAAAAGATGAAAGGACTGATAACGTGCTGTAAATGAGCAGCAAATTAACATGATACTGTTTAACTAAGTGATGGTTTGTGTGTTCACCTCCCTTTCAGTCCCTCATCCTTTCTTTATGTTTCTTCAGGATATAAAGACACGGATGCGACTCTTCATAATGGGATCTTGTGCCTTTCTGATCAAATCACAAGCTCCTCTTGGTCAGAGATGGGTCTTGTGACTATATCTACAGGCATCCTGCCTAACATCTTTATGAGATTTTCTAAGCAGCTGTAATACACTAGTACACACACACATACACACACACACACACACATACACATACACATATAAGCATGGCACCAGTCCCACCTGGTATCCGCTTCTTGACATCCTTCAATAGGGACCAGTGGTAAGTTTGTCTCTTTTATAAATCTTCTTTGGCTGTATGTTCACGACTGATGATCAACAGAGCCAAATCTGCTCATGCAAAACTTTGCAGATTTCCATAGGGCTGTTTGATTATGGGAAAAACCATAATCATCTTTGGGCAATTGTGGGATCTCAATTGCTCATTGACTTTGGAGACATCATGCATTTATTGAACTTTTCAAAACAGATGATTTGCTTTAAATTAAAATATAACTAAAACACAAATAATATATATATATATAGGCCTATACAAAGAAAGGTTAAAAAAAAATATATATATTAATATAAAACCTTGTTTTTATAATTGTTGAAAAGCAAAAGTCATAATTTAAAAAAAATTACATTAATTACCCAGCCCTAATTTCTGGTTTAAAGTTGGAACATCTTTCGTTGTTATTCTACACGTCACAGCTTTTGAATATTTGTTTATGAAATATTTTAGTAAATTTGACTGTGGTTTCAGCTATCAATGAGAGTATATGTTTAACACATTTTAGCATCCATTCTGTAGAATTCCACCTGTTTTCCCCCCAAAATAAGAAGAATCTCAAGATTGTGTCTGGGTCTGCTAAGCAGGCATTGATAAAGCTGCTCTGTGCTGGAGAATAGTATAGAATAGATTAGAAATTTAGCGTTTTCTTTTTTGTACTAAACCAAGAAGTCGTTCTCTCTGTTGCCCATGGAAGCTGAATTAGACGCATGTAAAAATGTATACACACCTGTCTGTGTTTAATCAGAGCTTACATTCCGTTGCATTCCTGCGTCATCAACACAGTGTCAGGATGGATCGTGAAAAATCCGGCTTAGTGAGTTTCTTTAAAGCAACACACAGGCTACACTAGGTGTGTTAAAATGAACCTCAAAAAATGATATTAACTTCTGCCCTGCTGCATTAGCAGGTAGAGTTACAGGAAGTTTCTTTTAAACCAGACAGACTTATTATGCACTATGCAGTGCACTGTAAAAATACTGTAAAAACTGTAAAAAATGCTTTAAAATATTATGAAATTTTAACCCACTTAATGTAAAATACTGTCAAATGTATGTTTTTTGCAAGTAAACTATGAATTACCATATAATTTATGGTAAAAAAAAAAAAACTCTGCATGACACGTCATATGATCATATTTTATATAAAGGATGCATTTAGCATTTTTTCTTATTTTTATTTCATTATTTTCGTGTTGTGTGCTACCCTGATGGTGTTTTGTGTGTGTATGACTTGTGCTCATCTTGTTCATCATCTAGTTTTCACCCATTTATCATGGTGGTTATAAGTACATTTTAAAGTAAAAAGACAGAATTTTGTAGTTTAAATAGATGTATTACCATTACATTGCTTATAAAACACATGGGTTGTATAGACTACTTTTAAATCCATTGAATCTGTACAAGTAGCTTTGTGTGACAGAACGAAAGGGGAAAAAATTCAACAGAAAAATGGACTTCAGCTGCTGTGTCCAAACCTTATCTAAGTTGGAATGTAAAATAGTAGTGGACTTCCAATGGATAAAAGACTTGCTCTGCCTTTCTTAGTATGACATTAAGCAATAGACGGGCTCCCGTTAATTTCTGATTTATTTGCTCGTGAAGCAAAGTTGTTTGCGTATCTGAACAGTGGGTGGGTATGTCATTAGCCCCTCACACAGTTTAATGCCAGCTGCATACGTCCAGTATTCGTATTTGGGCTTGTTTTGGAATGCAGCCAATCTTTTAATCTGTCTTGTACAGAGCATGACAAGAGGACATTTCACTGTAAAATGTCCTTATTTCCTTATCCTGATTGAACTTTGCTGTGTTTGGTTCACGCAGGTACAGGGCCTTCACGTTTGGTCTCACGTTCCTGCTCTACACAAGCTTCCATCTGTCCAGGAAGCCCATCAGCATTGTCAAGGTAACACAACCCCTGTCAAACTGAACAACCCCTTTAAAGAAAGAGTTCCCCTGAAAATGAAAACGTACTCATCCTCAGGCAAATGTAGCATTACATCACCAATGGATCCTCTTTAGTGAATGGGTGCCGTCAGAATGAGAGTCTAAACAGCTGATAAAAACATCCCAGTAATCCACACCACTCCTGTCCATCAATTAATGTCTTGTGAAGAGATAATCTGCGTGTTTGTAAGAAACAAAACCATCATTAAGAAGTTTTAATTTCCAACTTTATATGAAGTTCAGTGTTTAAGTATATCCAACTTTATCTGCATACATACTGTACAGTATTGTGTATGGTGATGTATACTAAATTATATATTTTAAGTGCTTGATTACAATGTATTTTTATATTTGCCAGAAATAATAATTATATTTTTATTTGAATTTTACATTTTCTTTGCGCAAACATTTTATTTTTGTTAACTAAAGTTAAAGATTACATGTACTTATGTACTCGTGTACTTATGTAAAAATCGTATTTTTAAAACAAACTGTGTTTTCTAGTATATAGTTAGAGCCAGAATTATTCAGTTTATTCTGATTCCCATCTTTTATAATCTCTGCATGAGATAACATTCAGACAACACTATATTGCTCTGAGATGTCATGATCAGAACTATTATCAGCCGCTCTTGCGCTTACTGGAACTCAAAGTGCTTTTTTGACATTTTCTGTCACATATTAACTCATTTATCTGAGTGTAATCCAGGAGAGCATGCATGTACTTATGTACTCGTGTACTTATGTAAAAATCTTATTTTTAAAACAAACTGTGTTTTCTAGTATATAGTTAGAGCCAGAATTATTCAGTTTATTCTGATTCCCATCTTTTATAATCTCTGACAACACTATATTGCTCTGAGATGTCATGATCAGAACTATTATCAGCCGCTCTTGCGCTTACTGGAACTCAAAGTGCTTTTTTGACATTTTCTGTCACATATTAACTCATTTATCTGAGTGTAATCCAGGAGAGCATGGCACACAGCCATCTAACTATGTTGAACTTACTTTAGCCAGCCTTAAAGGGATAGTTCTCCCAAAAATGGAAATTACCCAACGATTTACACAACCTTAAAGGGGTCCTATTATGCTCTTTTACAAAGTCTTGATTTTGTTTTGGGGGTGTACTAGAA